GTTCCTTCTTGCTTGATTGACCAATCTTACTTTGGTTCTTTTCTTATCAACCTAGGACTTTACCTTCTTATCTTTTTTCTCTTTGTCTACTTCTCCATTCTGTATGTCAAGCCACACATCATTCCTCCATACGCATCTTTAGAAGAAAAGCAAGACGCGATTGCTAGAGCAAATGAAGCATTTGTCAACAATTGGCATTGTTATGACGTAGACTACCCTATTCGATATTGTTGTGTTTGCAAACGTTTTATCCCTCAACGTTGTTTCCATTGTTCTCAGTGTGGTTATTGTGTCGAATTAAAAGACCATCACTGCGATTACTTTGGTTTTTGTATTGGTCGTCACAACTTACTTCTATTTTACCTCTTCTTTCTTACCCTAATAGCACTTTGTCTTTACGGCTTTGTGTGCTTCTTCCACCTTTGTTATGTTGTTGGTTTCGGCACATTTACTCCTCTCCGTATTTTCAAACTCATTGGTATTCTCCACATCCTTGCGTGTTTGTCTTTGGGGTTGATTCTCTCTTTCTACTTTCTCAATAATTCTCTCTCCTTATTAATCAATCGCAAAACACAATTCGAGTTGTTACTTGAACATCGTATCTCCCTTAAACTCCATTCAGTTTGTTTTCTTTCTTATAACTCTTATTCTTGAATTCTTTTTACATTTTAGACATTCTCCTTCCCATCTTTATCACTCTCCAATATCCTCTCACTTCTTTTCTTATCTCCTTGATCTTTTCACGTAATGCCAATTAATTTCTTATTATAGAACATTGTTGTTTTTGTCTAACAGTCATGAAAAAAAAATTTAATCAAAAATAGAAAGGGTGAAAATACACTTTTAAGAGAAATTGATTTTATTAATTTACAAAATTGTTTCTAATAAAAGTATTTTTTATCTTTTTTACAAAAACAGTTGAACTGAATTAAAGTTGGTTCATATCATGTCCCGTTTGGAATGTATCTATCTAATGAATATTGGGTTATATTTGAGCTCTCCTAAAGATGTATTGTTATTTATTCAAATAAACAAGACATGTTCTAGAGCTATTCAGTCGTTAAAAAAAAACCCTGTACTGTTTTTTAAATACTCAAAACAAGATTATAGAGAGAAAGCATTAGTGACAACAAAAACAATTCGAATATATCCGAATATTGAAACTCTTGGAATAGAACTTCAAACCCTTAGATTTTGCTCAAAAGAAATTTTTCGTATAAAAAATTATCAAATAATTGCTAAAGGAGTTCTTGAAGAAATTGATTTTATAAATTTAGAGAAGATTCAATCAAGAATCGTTTGGTATAAAGGTAATAGTGAAGGAATTAATAATAAAATGAATAATCTAAGGTCTATGATTCTTACTGATTGTATTCACTTGAAAAGAATCATTTGTAGCGTTCAGTTTCTTAGGAAATTAGAAAAGGTGCAAATTCGATGTGAGAAAAGAGAGGCTTGTGATGTAATTTCTATGGTTGAAAACTTATACCAAGATGTGATGGTAATTGTTAAACAAGCAAGTAAAGACTTAAAAGGACGAGTAAGCATTTGTGGTTGTGGTGTTCTTGGTAATGGAAAAGATCTAATAAATTTATTAGATGAGTCTCATTATTATCAATTTAATGAAAAGGCATTAAAACTAAAGAATATAAAAATTATCCAATCATTATATCTCCCTCTTAATTTGTCTTTTCATGGAACACATGAATTAAATGATGAAATTAATGCAGACCTCACAGTCCTTACTAATTTAACTCGACTTCAACTATTATATATTCAAGGAATTATTAATCTACCAAAGACGTTACAAGTTTTTATTGTAAAGTCAAGTAATATTCAAATCAGTAATATCCAATCTTGCAGTCTTAAGAGCCTTGTGATTGAAAGGTCAACTTGTCCATTCCCATTTTCTCTTCCATCAACTATCACATCTTTACATCTTAGTGATATACAAATTCAAACTATTTCAAACTTTGATGAATTACCACTTATTGATTTATCACTTATTAATTGTAGATCACAGAACTCATTGAATTTACCTACTACTCTTCGTTCTTTAGAATTAGACTCATGCCCATTTCCTATTAATATTAATGATGAAGTTAATGTACTTATTTTAGACAATTTTAACATTATTTCTCAATTTCATTTTCCCCATTCTTTAACTAGACTTGAATTAGGAAGTGCAAGAGAATTTACACCTGAACTCTCTCGTTGCCATTTGAAAGATTTAAAACTATTTGATTGTGAAAATGTTCCATTGTCACTTATTCCTGTTTCTGTTACTTCATTTGGTATTTATGACTCTTTACACCTTCCAAAAAAACTTGATTTATGTGACTTTTTCTTCACATCAATAGAAATATCATTATGTCCAACTATTCAATCTATTTCATTTCCTTCTTCAATTTGTTCTATTTATCTTGAGTCATGTCGTGGACTAACATCAATAAACCTTTCAAATTCTCTACAACTCACACAACTTTCTTTAGTTGATTGCACCTCACTTACTCGTCTGAACAATATTCCAACATCAGTTCAATCTCTCTATTTCTCAAAATGTCATTCATTAACTGAAATCAAAGATTTAGATCAACTACCGTTGTTACCTCAATTTATAAAAGATAAGTGTCACAAAATATTCAGTTGTAATATAGAAAAAGATGGTCAGTCATTCTCATGTTCTCAATCAGAGCAATAATCTTTATATTAGATAGTTTTGTTTTCTATAAGAGTTTTTGTTTGTTCTTTTTAACAAATAAAATACATTTAAAATTAAGTAACAATTACATTGAATAATTAGTCAATCAATCATTCAATTATTAACTCATCTATAAGCAGATGTTAATTTATCTAATTCTTTCATTACATATTCAAATGTTTTCATAATCTCTTTTTTCTGTTGATTTAATTCTTCATCCTTTGAATTAAACCCATATATTTCTTTAGCATACTTTTGTTCATAAATTTCACCTAATCCAAGTTTACTCTTCTCTCCATCAAGTTCAATCTCTTTTTTCTCTTTCTTTTGGATTAATGTTTTTCTTACAACATCATCCCAACTTTGTTCTTTTATTCTTCTTCGAATGAGATCTTCTAAACTTAATGTTTGTTCTTTAGTCATTGGAGGTGGTGGTCTATTAGTATTTTGGAAATCAATGTCAAGATCAACTAAACTATCGACTGGTCGTTCTTCCCCTTTAATTTCACCTAACATACTCCAATGTTTTTCTTTCATATTTTCTTCTTCTAACTTAGTAATTTTATTTTTAATGATTTCTTGTTGTTTTTCAAATTCATTCTTTGGTTCTTTTTGAACTTCGTCATTATCATCGTCTTGTTCAAATCCTTCGATTGGTTGATGATCTTCAATGCTATCATTGTTTTCTTCACTCATTTCATCTTCACCACTGTTATCCTCTTCTTTATCAACAATCTCATCCAAATCTCCATCTCCAAGTTCAAAGTTATCCATTTCATCTATGGCCTTGATTCATTTTATCCATATCAATCTCTTCATCCATATAACTTAAATCTTCTTTTTCACTAT